TCGAGTCAGAGGCACCTGACACTCCTCTGGATCATGTTTGACCTACAGTTCAGCAGCTAAAACTGCAGCTGACTTCCTGTGATTAAATCCTGATAATAATTCCTGTCAGGCTTGTCTCTTGTGTGGGGAACACTTGCTGGAATCCACGGCACACCTGGTGGAGGAAATGTCCTCTTCACACCCCAGGAGAGTCTCCATTTATCCACTGAAAAACACAATTAAAAGCCCCACTACCTTGTTGTGAGAGAGGTGAGACATAGTGAGGAAGAGAAGGAGAGAAAACAATTTGTGTACCAAACAAAAAAGAAAAAAGCATAGTGCTGTCATGGATATTCACAGACATACACTGGCCTTAAATATCAGTGCTCTCATCAATAAAATGGGTGCAAACATCAGTCTCAACGCTTGATTTAAATATTCTCCTCCCTACATTTTGCACAAGATCATTGCAAAAATGATCTCTCACCTCGGACACACAACTGTCACTGTGGGTTTTTTGTAAATACCGACCATTTCTTTTTTACACCAAAACCCAGTTTGTACTGGTGTAACATGTTTGTAAGTCTGGCCCATAGACTGCACATAGATCTAAAACGTGAATGCAACATTAAAGGGCAACACTTGATTATTGCCTCAAGAACATTTCCTAATGAGTTCATGATCGCTATCATGAGTTGAAACCTTATTTAACAGAGAACTGTGTTCATTTTATGGACTGATGTTGGTCATGAGACCAGGCTGGCGTTTCTTCATGCATTTCTCTTCCCATCATTCTCGTACGAGTCAATCTTGGTTTGAGAAGCTTGCCGCTCTTTTTAGCGTTTTCTGACCGTTTAATCTGATCTCCTTCCTCTTGAGTGCAACCAGTGGCTTTCACCTTGTTGTAAACTCTCTGTGATTACACTGATGAAGACATCTTTTAACTGTAGACATCGACAATGATAACTCGACCTGCTTGAAAGTGTTCTAGAATGGATTTTGTGATTATTCAGAGTTGTTGTTTTCTGCAGGCTTCTGATGTTGCTGAACTGGATTGTTGTGGTTGCTGAGCAGGACGGCACATTCCTTCTTTTTACAATGCACCAGATTGTTGATTTGGTTATTTTGAATGTTTTTGCTGACTCTCTGATAGTTTACTTTGGTTTTCCAGCTCAGTTATGGCCTACTTCACTTACATCAACATATCTTTAGAACTCATAGAAAGAAGCCCAATGAAAAGATCTAATTTAATACTTGGAATCTGTTTAATCTGTCATGGAATAACACGGGAACAGGCCTCATTTGGCTGTAAAACAATCTATCAGTCAACTGTTCAGCTACTATTGAGCCTATGAAACAGTTAATTCAATACTTTTGATAAAACTCTTGTATTAAAGTTTAAAATCTGCACTTTAATCAGATCTTGAATATTTTGTGTGGTGGTGTACAGAGGTAAAATTACAAAAAATTGCATTAATATCTAATTATGGATCTAACTATATATGGCTACAGTGGTGGTAATGGTTTCTAACTGTTTTCTGTTTTTGGATCTTAACCCTTGCATGCACAACCTACCAATACCTACACTCTTCCACGAGTGGGGTCAAAAATGACCCCAATTAAAATCAATGCATTTTGCTATAAACTCGGTTTTTATTCTTCAAAATCTTTAAAACAAAGAGTTGTAATATTTTCATATTTAAGGTATTCCTCATAAAACATGTTTGTGACATGAGACCCTTTGCATTTTTATTTATTTTTTCATTAATTTTAAGAAATTGCAGTTTTTGTATCACTTTTGTATGCTTGCTCTGCATATACTGCAGAAGCTGGCCTTCCCACTGAAAGGCACAAGTTGTTCATCCACTGTAACACAATCACTGAGCATGAATTTCTGCCTGCAGTTGACCAGGAAAAGGCCCCATATGTAGCGGAAAGCTGCCACGTTGTTTGTTTTCAGTCGGTAGGCTCTGGTCCTCTTGTCCTCAAAGTGCAAGAAACGGCGAATATCTTTAAATCTTTGAATTGACATAGTGGCCTTAAACAATGGGTTATGCAGAGGACTCCCAAAAAGCACACCGACTGGTACATCCCAGTTCTTCTCACTTCCTGCAAGAATGGTCAATCAAATGAAGGCCAGGAGTTTCTATTTGATTACATTTTTCCACTCTTTTCCCCTGTCTGTGGCTACTCTTCGTGCCTCCTTCTTTGTGCATGTCAGCACCTCTTTAATGGACAGAGGATGAAGTAATGTACATGATTTAAAGTTTTTTTTGGTCCAAAAAATATCAACACAAAATTAGAAATATGGATAGGAACAGTCCTTTTTAAAACGGGTAATCATTAAATTTGTGTTTCCAAATCCTTTCTGGAGAGATTGGATACAAAACTTTAGCGTCTCGACACGTTGAGGAGTTTCAGAATGCCGTGTAGCTCT